GAAATCTCAAAAAGAACCTGAAGCACATTGGATATTATATTTGATACGCAAGCTACTTTTAACACTCATTTTGAGAAGATCCTCTCTCTCTCTCTTTTTCATCCTTTCCCTTCCTTCGTTGCAAAACCTTAAGAAATTTGAATCCAAACAGGAAATCTGTAAAACAACAACAAAGCCCAGGTTGAGATACATTTTATATAGTTTACTTATTGCTCTTTTCTGAGAGCTTGTCGCATGGTGGTTGAACTGTGAATGTTCACATTTAACTGGAAGCAGAACAGGCTGCATATGCTACAATAGTAGATTTCTGTTATTATGGGAATAATGGCACTCAAAAGAAGCAAACATCTGGAATCCTTGCAGATTTCATCAAGCTTTCAGGCTGTTTGCAAACATTTCTACATAAAAAGCAAAAAAGTAGAACTTCTTTTAACTTGAGTTTGATCCCAGATGAGATGTATCTCTGTAGTTGGCTGAGCAACAATCCAGAAATGGCTTCCTGTTGTCTTTTTCAACTGCTCGAACAAGTCTAAGCCCTAGAATGGTTTGGCATTCACCCATCCGAGCATGAACCCAAGCTAAACTTGCTTAGCTTTTGAGCCCAGACCAGTTCAGTTACCTGCTGAATTAGAAGGATGCAAATCAAAGACCCAATTTGAATTTGCAATTCTATTTGAATTATCAGTGCAAACTAAATTTGTGATGTGATCCAGTAAAAGCATGTGTGTAAAAACTCCCATCAAACCTTTGAAGGGAATCTTGACAATTCAACTTGAAGGTTTGATTCAGAGAGGAGCTTTGATTGTATCAGAATAAAATGGCATGTATGAACCTGTGTTACACCACTCAGATCCAGGTAGATCTATTTCTTCTTTGTTTACACCAACACACGCTCTGAACTTGCAAAATTTGGGTAAGGAATTTTATCTAGGAGTTGGATGTGGGGATTTCTCTTTGCAAAAAATGTGAAATTTCACACAATGTGGCATTTCCCTCAATCAGACAAAATCATGTGCTGACACGGCAGAGCAGGACACTTGTGCCCCTCTGCCTGGGGGGGTCCTCAAGTCTTACACCCTCTTGTCTTAGCTGAGTTTAATTTTTTTTTAAATTAAGTAAAAATGAAATAGGAAACTGACTTGCTAAAAAGCAAAATACCTGCCTACATCTTTCTTTACAGAATTCTTCTGAGCCCTGTAGGCTTTTTCTTAGAAAATAGGATACGATAGGATAGGAATAGAATAGGATAAGGATAAGGATAAGGATAAGAATAGAATAGAATAGAATAGAATAGAATAGAATAGAATAGAATAGAATAGAATAGAATAGAATAGAATAGAATAGAATAGAAGCTGGAAGGGACTTTGGAGGTCTTGTAGTCCAGTCCCTGCTCAAGCAGGAGAACCTATACCGTCTCAGACAGGCGATTGTCTAGTCTCTTCTTAAAAATCTCCAGTGATGGAGCACCCACGATTTCTGGAGACAAGCTGTTCCATTGGTTGATTGTCCTCACTGTCAGGAAGTTTCTCCTTAATTTCAGGTTGCTTCTCTCTTTGATCAGTTTCCAACCATTGTTTCTCATCCTTCCCTTTGGTGCTCTGGTGAACAACCTGGCCCCCTCTTCTTTGTGGCAGCCCCTCAGATACTGGAACACTCCTATCATGTCTCCACTATTTCTTCTTTTCTTCAGACTAGCCAAACCCAAGTCCTGCAGCCGTTCTTCGTATGTTTTGGTCTCCAGGCCTTTGATCCTCTCAGTTGCTCTTCTCTGAATTTTTTTCCAAACTCTCAACATCTTTTTTGTGATATGGTGACCAAAATTGGCTGCAGTATTCCAGGTGTGGTCTTACTAGGGTTTTATAAATAAATAAATAAAGAAGAAATAAATAAAGAAGGGGAGATGATTGAAGCCCAGAATTTGACTTGTGTATCCATCTAACCTAGGGGAAAAAAGGAGCTGAGAGACACTGAGATATATGGTATCCTGGAAGCCAATAGGGGCTGTGAGAAATACCCTCACCACTTGCTCTCAAGGAGTATCTGTTCCGAAATTAGCCAGGGAGGGTGAGATGCCTTCCATGCTATCAACATTCAAAACAGGCCTCTAGGGCTTCAAAGGCTCCTTATCTCCATTTGGCCCAGCTGAAGGGATACCCAACCGCAGTTCTTTTTTTCCCCCCCAAAGTCAAAATGAAGGAACTGGAATAGATCAAGAAATAAGGAGAGTCCTTGGAAAAGACACAACATCATATGACAGGTGCAAAGGGAGGACATCACGTTAGAAAACAAATGTTATCTTGCATTCTGACTTTGTTCTCCGTGGAGGATAGAAATTGGCCATAAAGAAGTCTAAACTGGCAGGCCTGGGTGACATTGTTTCACCGGGGCAGCATGCAAATGGTGATAATAAATATCAGGAGAATATTGGGGAAAATAAGGCACCATAAGCAGAGCTCTGCTCACAGCCACAATGGGAACCAGAATTTCTGGTGCTAAGCAAGGTGGTCATTAAGTGAATCTCCGGGGTAAAATGTTGGAGAAACAGTGTCCAAAATTCGTTTAACGACGTCAACGATTCTTTTAGGTCAAAGGGAGAACTAAACCGAACAGTCTGCAGCCGATCCTTTCAGGGTATACTGCTAGGGCACTGGACCCTGAGAAGGTTCACGGACTTAAAACTAGTGTACTACCACTACGACATTCACACTCTTGACCAGTTAAGTCCCCCTTTTAAGTGCTGTTGTAACTTTGAACGGTCACTAAACGAAGGGTTGTAAATTGAGGATTACCTGTATATCATGCTATTGGTTTAGCATTTATTATGTCCCAGTTTACAAGGGATGCATTGATTCAGACCCTTCCTTACCACTCCTAGCACACTGTTTTTTCAATAAAGGAGAATATTTGTAGCTCAGGGTTCAGATGAGGGGTCCTTGGTGCTCTCTGAGCTTGCTTGTTTTCTTGCAGATGTTTCATGACCCAAACTAGGTAACATCATCAGTGCTGGAAGGGAGTGAGGTTTGCAGAGAGGAGGAGGAGGGGGGAAGGGGAAGGAGAAGGAGAAGGAGAAGAATTGTGTGGTTCTTGTTGTTCACAGAGCTTGGTTGTTTTCTTGCAGACATTTCACTACCCAACTAGGTAACATCATCAATGCTAAAAGTTGGTGGAGTTTGCAGGGAGGAGGAGGAGGAGGGGAAGGGGAAGGGGAAGGATGATGATGATGATGATGATGATGATGATGATAATTATAATAATAATAAAGTTGGAAGGGACCATGGAGGTCATCTAGTCCAACCCCCTACTCAGGCAGGAAACCTTATACCATTTCAGACAAATGGCTGTCCATCTCTTCTTTAAAACTTCCAGTGTTGGAGGAAGCGAAGGAGAAGGAGGAGAATTGTGTGGTTCTTGGTGTTCTCTGAGCTTGGTTGTTTTCTTGCAGACATTTCATTACCCAACTAGGTAACATCATCAGTGCTAAAAGGGAATGGGGTTTGCAGGGAGGAGGAGGGGAAGGGGAAGGAGAAGGAGGAGAAGGAGAAGGAAAAGGAGGAGATTGAGAAGGAGAAGGAGAAAGAGGAGAATTGTGTGATTCTTGGTGTTTTTTGAGCTTGGTTGTTTTCTTGCAGATATTTCATTACCCAACTAGTGCTAAAAGGGAGTGGGGTTTACAGGGAGGAGGAGGAGGAGGAGGAATGTGAAGTCCTTGGTGCTCTCTGAGCTGGGTTGTTTTCTTGCAGACGTTTCATTACCCAAACTGGGTAACATCATTAGTGCTCCTTATGATGTTACCTAGTTTGGGTAATGAAACGTCTGCAAGAAAACAAGCAAACTCAAAGAGCACCAAGGACCCCTCACACTGTTTTTTTTTTTTTTGGCATGGTTATTTGCTGGGTTTTACAACAGTCTTCCCGAAGGAGACCCCGAACTCCGTCTGGAAACAGTTCCCCAGGAACCCGACCTGGGCCTTGTGAACTCTGAAACACAAAAAGTCCCACTTCACCTCCTAAATCCAGTTCGGTTATCTCAAAGACAACTGGGGGAACAGACCCACCCGGTAAGGACCGTTGAACTTTTGTGGGGGGGACATACACACGTCTACTTGGATTAGCTGCCATTATTTGCCGAGAAGATTATAAAGAGGAGAGGAAATGTCACGGGCACAGATAAATGGCCATGTCAATATTTGGGGCCAGGGCTGGAAGAAAGGAGGAAAGCGATTCCGAATGACCTTAGATCCAATGAAAGTTGTCGTGTCCCCCCCCCTTTTGCAAGTTACCAATGCAGCTGTCGAGGGTCTGAATGCTGGAGGGGGCAACATGGTTGCTAAGACATCCCAAGGTGGTGGATTTGGCTTTCATTTTTAATTCAATAAGGTTGTCGGCACTTATAGCCCCCTTTAAGCTCTCCCCAGTAAAAGAATTCCTGGGTCAGATAGTAGACTGTTGGCAAATACGGAAGTACACACAGCACAGAGTATTTCAATAGCAGTGCATTTTCCCTCTTGAACTCACGGGGTGACCTTATCCTAAGAGGCACCGCCTTTTAAGTGAGGCTTTTCATTCTCCATTGTTTCTTTTTCTTTAAGCAGCTCAGAACATTTATTTATTTTTTGGTAAGAATGGGAACATTCAGCAATATATCCTTGCCCTACCAGGTGTTCCTTAGCTCACAGTGTGGCCCTCAAATCCAGCCACATCGCATTCAGTCTTCTGAATCATATCCTAATATTGAATGCTATCGCAGTCACTTTCTTGGCTGGGACGGCTCTTTCAAGGCGCTTCTGTTATGACCTTCAAAAGCATATTTTAGGATATGATGCATAATTCTAACTACACTCCTGTTCCTAAAGGTTGGGCCAACTAAATCTGACTTACTTAATGGTTATCCAGCTATTCGATTTTGGTTGAAGTGGAATTTGGCTCAGGATTCCCCCACCCATCAATTTTTCGCCAAGGCCGTGATAATCTAACATTGCATCTACTTTTCTCTCCTTCCAGATGAATGGGAACCTAGGGGAGCTCTCTTTCTGGTGAATATTATGAAAATATGATGTCATAGAGGAAAACAAATTGGACTGTCCTGTTTTCAACCCAGCAAGGTCCATGTCTGGCTAGCCTCCTGTCAGGTGCAAAGAATCGGGACTACATATAGAATTATAGGTAAGATGATTTATTGGTCATTCCTATAGGCAACAATCTAGTGAGCTAATGCACTAAATTGGGGCTAGATAAGAGTCAACGGAATTCAGGAGGGGTTGGACTTAGGCTGTTTGTGGGAACGTAATGATTCTAGGCTGATTACTCATCTGACTCCACCCCCAGGCTTTGCCTGGTCTTCTGTATGTCCCTTCTTTCAAGTTATCAAGTGAGCCATTGCTGCATCTCCTCCTTCTTCTCACCCAAGAAGATCTTAGCAATAGTGTGTATTAATAGCCCTCAGATACCCTACAGCAGGGGTCTTCAAACTTGGCCCTTTTATGACTTGTGGATTTCAACCCCAGAATTCCTCAGTCAGGCACGCTGACTGAGGAATTCTGGGAGTTGAAGTCCACAAGTCATAAAAGGGCCAGGTTTGAAGACCCCTGCCCTACAGTGATGTTAGAATTCCAAGTCAAGTCTGTTGCTCCATCCCATGAAATTCCATGCAGAGAAGTAGAGGGTAGTAAGAGATATTATTCAAATTGTGCTATGTTACCAGGACATGGAGAACCACTGAACGATGTGTAACCCTGTCTGAAATGGCATAGCTTGTCCTAGGCGTAACTACATTTCCTGAGGCAGAACTGGATCCTCATAACAGGTCTCAGACAGAATGCATTGGTGGGATTGCCAAATTCCCTTTAGCACAGAAAGCACCGCAAATTACCTTGATTTTTTTTTCTTTTTCTTAGAGTTATGTCAAACCCGGCCATTCTTTCAGGTCATTAAGTTGGCAAGGTAAACTCGGATCATTGTATCCAAGCAAACAATGGCTTCGCTGTCCTCTGTGCCAAGAATGGATGAGTTAGAACATCCTCGTGAAAGCGTGCTTTCAAACGGGTTGCTAGGCAGAGATGGACCAGGAGTTGTAGCCCCCAATTTAGGGACACACCTGTAGAAGGCCAAAGACCAGCAATCTGCTTGGATGAAGGAGACTTGACACAATTCCAGCAATGCCGAGCAAGTCATCTCAAAAAGTGGCTTAAGTTAGATCTGTTTATTCCTCTTTGAGGAGACTATTATCCTTTGCCTTCTGTTTTTGCACCCCGTGAAGTTGACCTGCTCTATTAAGAGTTTTAACATTTCATATCAGAAATGAAGTTACAGCAACTTCAAGCTCTGGGCCATTGGCTTCAATGGGCAATGAAATGGCAAAAAGTGACCCTTACATATTGATACTCTTCTTTCTATGCGTATATCTATTGTGTTGTATTTTATTCTTGTATTATCTTGGTTTGTGTTCAATACAATACAATACAATACATTACAATACAAAAGCAAGACAAGCAACAATGGATGGAAACTAATCAAGGAGAGAAGCAACCTAGAGCTAATGAGAAATTTCTCGACAGTTAACAATAACACCTTTCATCCCTAATGCGTTTCAGAGGATCCACAAATTTACTTTTCTTTTTCCACACGTTCTGCCTTGGAATTCTAATTCCCCTTAATTTGCCCCCCAATTTATTTCTACCTTTCATCATCTTTGCAGGGCCCTTGGTGCCCTCTGAGCTTGGTTGTTTTCTAGTTTTATTGCCAAACTAGCATCATCAGTGCTAGAAAGCATTGGCATTTGTGGAGAGGAGGAGGAGGAGGAGGAGGAGGAGGAGGAGGAGGACGACTGTGGGGTCCTTGGTGCTCTCTGAGCTTGGTTATTTTCTTGTAGCTGTTTCATTGCCAAATTATATAACCTCATCAGTGCATCTTTCTTTGCATGCAAGAGAAGTAAAGAAACTTTCTCCTGGCTTTAAAGTAGAACCTATCCACCCATTTTTGGCAACAGGTTGTTTTTATAAACATTTACTGGCATGAGATTTTATTACTTTCTTCCTTAAAAAAAAAACCAAACAAAAATTGAATCATTCGTGACCTTCTTCCCATATGAGTCAAGCATGGCTCCTGGGTTAATCACCCAATTATGCTACATAACTTTTTTTCTTCTTCAGGAAATGATTCAGGCCATCTCCTTCTCCATTCTCCCCCCCTTTACCCAGGAAGAAGCGAGAAAAGGGTTCATTTTTCCCTCTGACAATCTGCCCGTGGATTTCATTTTACAACCTCATCTAGGAAGCTTGAGTCATCGCTTGCATTCACTTTGGAGCAACGTGACCACATTCCAAAGTGTGCAGTGAGTGTTGGGAGAGGCACAACTGAAGAGACAAATGTCTGTGCCCAGCTGGGGAACCAAGGAGGGAAACAGGGAGCGTTGCTACTCAACCTCAGTTGTGTGTGCCAACACTATCATTTCCTCAGAAGGAAGAGGGAAAAGAGAAAGGACTAACATGGAGAGGTAATCAGAATAGAGCTGGAAGGGACTTTGGAGGTCTTCTAGTCCATCCCCCTGCTCAAGCAGGAGACCCCCCTTCTAGTCCATCCCCCTGCTCAAGCAGGAGACCCCATACTATTTCAGACAAGTGGCTGTCCAGTCTCCTCTTAAAAACCTCCAGTGATAGAACACCCACAACTTCTGGAGACAAGTCATTCCACTGTTTAATTATTCTCACTGTCAGGAAATTTCTCCTTAGTTCTAGGTTGCTTCTCTCCTTGGTTATTTCCATCCATTGTTTCTTGTCTTGCCTTCTGGTGCTTTGGAAAATAAGCTGACCCCCTCTTCTTTGTGGCAGCCTCTCAAATACTGGAATACTGCTATCATGTCACCCCAAGGTCTTCCGATCTTCTCCTATCATAGTTTTCTGAAATACTGATAGTGTGGTTGGTGGTATTACCTTGGGTGTGAAAGCTTGGTGTGCCCTCTCTGTGGAATTCACATTGAAAAAGAAAATGGTTGGGATTTGTCATGGGACCTATGTTTTGGGTCTGCCCCGGCCATTCAAAAGCGCTAGAACAGGGCTCTCCAAACTTGGCAACTTTAAAACTTATGGACTTCAACTCCCAGAATTCCTCAGCCAGCCATGGAGCACTGGTTTCATTAGAAAATAGTTGATACATCTTTAAATAATGCAACACCCAATTTTCCCAGCTTGGGCTTTATTTGGGCCAGTCACCAGGAGACTGTAAGTTCTAGTCCTTCCTTAGGCATGAAAGCCAGCTTGATGAGTTTGGGCCAGTGAGTTCTAGTTCCTCCTTAGGAACAAAAACCAACTGGGTGACTTTTGGCCAAGCATCAGGAACTGGTGAGTTCTAATCCTGTCTTAGCCATGAAAGCCAGCTGGATGACTTTGGGTCAATCACCAGGAGATGGTGAGTTCAATTCCCGTCTTTTGCATGAAAGCTAGCTGGGTGACTTGGCCAATCACCAGCAGGTGGTAAGTTCTAGTCCCACTTAGCCATGAAAGCCAGCTGGATGACTTTGGGTCAATCATCAGGAGATGGTGAGTTCTAGTCCTGTCTTAGATATTGAGTGAACTGGGTGGCTTTGGGCCAATCACTAGGAGACGGTGAGTTCTAGCCTCACCTTAGGCATGAAAGCCAGCTGGGTGACTGTCGACCAATCCCTCTCTCTCTCAGCCCAACCCACCTCAACGTGTTGTTGTAGTGGGGGAAAATAGGAGGAGGAAGGTCTACTAGGTATGTTCCCTGCCTGGAGCTATTTATAAAAATAATAATAAAAGCAGGCTAAAAATACAAACATGCAAATGCATAAATACACGCGCAGATACCGCCTTAGACTGCAGAGAGAAGAGTGGCATATTTCAGTCACATCTGTGAGTTGCAAGCTTCTTGATAGGGGTGGGTGTTGTAGTCATTTTGCTTTGACAGATCTTACGAGAAAGTCCCACACCCACTTCATGCTAACTAACTTGTTTACGAAGTCAGGTTATGAATGAACAAGAGCATGGTTTGGCTTGCCGATCAACTTGCAAATATGTCGCTCGCTCGTCAGAGGGGAGTACATCTTTCTCCTCTGCCCCACCCCAAAATGGGGAGCAACATCGATGATGATGGGTATTGATTGAAACCATATTCTTTGAAAGTGAAAGCTGGGAAGAGGGGGGGGGGGTTGGGGGAGGGGGAGAAATCGCATCCACTGTTCCTTTAAAGTCCCAGCAAAGTTTCCCCCTGTCTTTGCGATGCTTCTCTGAGTCACGGCTCTCGGCAAATGTGGCAGGAAGTGAAACCACAGCCGGTTCTGGAAAAAATTTGAGGCAGCTGAATTGAGGTCTCGATGGATGTCTGTGGAGATTCTCCGTCATCCAGGTCCTGGTTGTCCCAAAGGTGCTTTTTTCAGGAGGCAACTGGATTTTCTTGTTTTTCTTTGAAGACGTCTCGCTTCTCATCCAACAAGCTCCTTCAGCTCTGGCTGGATGGGTGGGGAATGGAAGGATTTATATTATAATATAAATACATGTAAATGTATTTCTACTCTACTCTACTCTACTCTACTCTACTCTACTCTACTCTACTCTACTCTACTCTACTCTACTCTATTCTATATTCTGTTCTGTTCTGTTCTGTAATTTCTATTCTATTCTATTCTATTCTATTCTATTCTATTATTCTATTCTATTCTATTCTATTCTATTATTCTATTCTATTCTATTCTATTCTATTCTATTCTATTATTCTATTCTATTCTATTCTATTCTATTCTATTCCATTCCATCCTATCCTATCCTATCCTATCCTATCCTATCCTATCCTATCCTTCCTTCCTTCCTTCCTTCCTTCCTTCCTTCCTTCCTTCCTTCCTTCCTTTCTTTCTTTCTTTCTTTCTTTCTTTCTTTCTTTCTTTCTTTCTTTCTTTCTTTCTTTCTTTCTTTCTCTTTCTCTCTTCTTTTTTCAGTCTAAATATTGCTTCTCAGTTTTTACTCTCTATTCAAAATTTCAATCAACTTTATATTAAAAAAATACAAAGGGACAGGACATCTAAGAACCTACTGTACGGTAGCTTGTGATTCATCCATGAACCATATAACCAGGTCCACCATCATTTCCATGAGTTGCTTCTCCCCTCACCCCAGGAATTCAGAGCCAGGAAGGAAGAGCAAACCACAAACCATCTTCACTTCATACAACCAATCAGTTTTTTCAAGTGATTTGATTTTTTTAAAAAGAAAATCGGCTTTGGTTTTCTCCAACTCCATCTTCTTCCTGCCAAGCTTCCTTTGTAGTTGCTTCCCCATAACCACAAGGTTGCCTTAAACTTGGACAGAGTTGTTTTCAATTGCTGGGAAAGTGAAAGTCTTTCTTCAGAATGTCAAAACCGCCTGCAAGATCAAAGACCAAAAGGTCACTGTGGTCAAACTGATGGCTTTTAGGAAGCCTATGAAAAGAGCAGGAAGGCAAAGGGTTTTCTTGTGCCCCTGGTTACAATCCTCAACTCTTTCTCAATATGCCATCCTTCAGATGTGTTGGACAGCTCCCATCATCCTCAGCCAGTTGCTATCCAACATAGTTAGTAGGATCTAGTTGGGAAAAGCTACACTCCTCCAATCGTTGACACTTCTTGAGCTTCATGTTCCTGGACAAGGTCATTTTTACAACTTGAATTAATCCTTTTGAACGTGTTTGCCTATTGGTTGGCTCGCTTGTCTGACATCTTTTCATTGCGAATACATGGACTGTATTTTGCTTTCTTTTCCAGGGCTGGGAGTCAAAACAGCAGACTTTGGCACAATCAGTAAGTAAAATTTCTTTTTTCATCAGGGGTTACCAATGGAGATATATTCTGATTCTACCTGACCTGATAAGGGAGCAAGCAGATCCACTCAATTTATCATCTTAGTGACTGGGGAGAATTTGAAAACCAACTATCTGGACTTCCTTTGGTTTGCTAGCACCAACCCCCCAAATGTTTTTGATAAGGGATCTTACAAGACTAGAGGATGAGACACTAAGCTAAGAGAACTAGGTATGTTTAGCCTAATGAAAAGAACAGTACAGAATAACAGAGTTGGAAGGCTCCTTGGAGGTCTTCTAGACTAACTCCCTGCAGGAAACCCTAAACCATTCCAGACAAATGGCTGTCCAGTCTCTTCTTAAAAACTTCCAGTGTTGGAGCACCCACAACTTCTGGAGGCAAGCTGTTCCACTGATTAATTGTTCTCACTGTCAGGAAGTTTCTCCTTAGTTCTAGGTTGCTTCTCTCCTTGGTTAGTTTCCATCCGTTGCTTCTTGTCCTGCCTTCAGGGGCTTTGGAGAATAGTACCTGAAGAGAAAGCTTAGGGGAGACAGGATAGCATCTTCCATGACTTGAAGGGCTGTCACACGGAAGAGGACATCAATTTATTCTCCATAGCACCTAGGGGTAGGACAAGAAGCAATGGGCAAAAGCTGGTCAGAAGGTGATACAACTTGGAAATAAGGAGGACAGCAACAACAATTAATCAGCTTGCCTCCAAGAGTTGTGGGTGTGCCATTGCTGGAGGTTTCCCAAAAAAAAAGTTTGGACAATCGTTTGTATGGGATTTTATAAGGATTCCTGCCTTGGGCAGAGAGTTGGACTAGAAGACCTCCAAGGTCCCTTCCAGCCCTAGGATTCTATGAGCTGCTTATCTTTCTTTTTATGTCTACATTTTATACCCCCTCTTTTTTTTCTTTTCTTTTTGCATGTTTTAAACTTTCCTGGGGCAGCCGCTGTTTGACCCACAGTTGCACCATTCTTCCTTCCCACAGAATATTTGATACTTTGGTTTGGAAACCATGAATGAGAACTTAACATGAAAGGGAAAACAGAAGATATTGCTTTCCACCGGAATTTGTTTTTTCCTTTTCTCCTCCTCCAGATCATTCCTCTTCATTCATTCTCTTAATTTCACTTGTCATTTCATGCAAAAGTTGGATTTAAGTTGGGCATATCAGCGTAAGTTGAACGTTAAGCATCCGTCCTGCTTCCTTGTAGTGCCTTGATGTTTCATAAAGAATCTCAGAAGCTAGAAATAGTGGGGAAAGTCTTATTTTGGTAAAAAGCGAAGATGCAACCAGGACTAGGAGTCAGTTTTAATACTGATAAGATTTCAGTCTTTTTGAGCCAAGTCCTGGGCACAAAATTTGAATTTGCCACATATATTATATTCGCATTATGTGACTGACTAGCGCCAATCATTTGTTGAAATTGGGGAGAAAGGAGAAGTCCATGGACAATTATCTGTATGAGTTGGCAGGGCAGAGAAGGGATACTAAGTCCTCCCAGCAACTTCCAGGGAATCTCTCCTCCAAGAATCTGATGGTTGACTGGTTTCTCTCCAGGATCTGTTTCCCTCATCTTCAGACCAACGTCTGCTCACATGTCGCATTTCATAGTCAACATTTATCACAATCTAAGTGGAGAAGGTTTGAAGGTTGCACTGAACATTTTCAGACTGTTCCCTATTTCATGTGTGGGAGGCCTCCCTGACCATTCAGAAGGATGTTGTTTCCTTCCTCTTATAAGGCTAAAGACTATGAAGGCCTCTTAATAATAATAATAATAGTAAAGTTGGAAGGTACCTTGGAGGTCATCTAGTCCAACCTGCTGCTCAGGCAGGAAACCCTATACCATTTCAGACAAATGGCTGTCCAGTCTCTTCTTAAAAACTTCCAGTGTTGGAGCATTCACTGCTTCTGGAGGCAGGTTGTTCCACTGGTTAATTGTTCTCACTGTCAGGAAGTTTCTCCTTAGTTCTAGATTGCTTCTCTCCTTGCTTAGTTTCCACCCATTGCTTCTTGTCCTGCCCTCAGGTGCCTTGGAAAATAGCTTGACTCCCTCTTCTTTGAGGCAGCCCCTGAGATATTGGAAGACTGCTATCATGTCCCCCTCGTCCTTCTCTTCATTAAACTAGACACACCCAATTCCAGCAGCCTTTCCTTATATGTTTTAGCCTCCAGTCCCCTGATCATCTTTGTTGCTCTTCTCTGCACTCTTTCTAGAGTCTCAACATCTTTTTTACATCGTGGTGACCAAAACTGGATGCAGTATTCCAAGTGTGGCCTTACCAAGGCCTTGTAAAGTGGTATTAACACTTCACGTGATCTTGATTCTATCCCTCTGTTAATGCAGCCTAGCACTGTGTTGGCCTTTTTGGCAGCTGCAGCACACGGCTGGCTCATATTTAGGTGATTGTCTACTAGGACTCCGAGATCCCTTGCATAGTAGAAAGACAGATTTTCCATTAGGAGCAGGAACTATAGAAGATGACACAGAAAGAGAAAGGTTTAGGATCTAGGACAGAATTCCAAGCCAAAAGAAGCTCAATCCAAGCCATGTCAACCGAAGATAGAAATACAACTGTAAGAAGAATAGTTGCCTTTCTGGGAAAGATTTTTTTCTGCTTCCGCTGGTGTACTAAACACGGCTTCTCAGGAGTTGAGGAAGTCCCCAGAGAGGAATCGTGGACAACTGAGGACATCCAAAGAATGAGCTTTCTAGGAATTGGTGACTAAGGGACAGCCATGTTTCCAGGAGATGTGTCTCCATCAGATTCTCGGCAGGGAGGGAAAGAATTCTTTAGCAACTTTAAGAAAAGGATCCCCATTCTTCTCAGGGACATTTGACCACAACAATTTTCGGTTCTGAATCCAGGCTCATATCTGCTGGAAATTATCTAGATTTGGGAGGAAGAAACATTGTGATAAAATGTCAGGGACTTCCTAGCAAGGCTGGTCATTCCCTGAGGTGGGCAGATTTTCAAAAAGCAGCAAAACAGTCTCTTGATGCATTCCTTTGGCCTTTCAAAGACACGACTTGGAAGGAGGATACCTGTGACCCTCTTGTGAGCATACTCAGTGTTTCGGTGGGCTTTGCAGTCTAATTTGAGTGGGGTGCCCTTCTCTGACCTCTTGCAGGTGATGCTTTGCTCCCCACCCTCCGACGAACTGGTAAGAGATTTTCAACCCCAAAGACATTATGCAAAGTTTGCTGGTCCCAGATGATGGTGGGAAGCAAAACAGGCTCCGTGGAATCCTGTTAACTTGACTTTTGGGGTTACGGCATGATTAGAAAACCTCCTGCTTTAAACGAAGTTGTAATCCAACGAGCTTGAACGTCGAACGCCTTTGGGAAGCAGGGCAGAGTTTTCTGGGGGAAGACGGGTCCATTTATTTCTCGAGCCAATTCTTTGCTGTGCGCACATACCCTGCAGCACACAAATATATAGTGCCACCTTCCTCCTTGACTGCAAGGATAAATTAAGAATTCCTGACACACAATATTGCTCCAAAGGAGAAGGGGGAGAAAAGCTGAAAGGAAGAAAAGGAACTTGGTGTGTGACTGAGCACTGAAAGAAAATGTAAATTTCAGTCCCAGACTTACTTATTAAAAGAGAGAAAAGAATGGAACTCAAAAACCCAACTGTTTATTCTTCTCTTAGCCCAGGCAGGGCTATCTCTGAAGGGGTTGGACAAAAAGAGGAGAGATTTGTCCCCAATGTCCATCGCTTGAGGTGGGGATGTGGGTTCCAACCTCTTTGATTTTTTTTTTACAGTAAAAGCACCCCCTCCTCATCTCAAAGGCCAACGTGACACCGTACAAAAGAAAAGGAAAAACCAGTTGCTTTTTTTTGTCTTTTATTAACAGCAGCGTATTATGTCTCCAGCTGCTCTGGGCTGGGGCAAGAAAATTGGTTTTGCATTGGGGAAAATGCTGCGGAGAGAGGAGGAATGATTGAGCAGGGGCTGGCAACCCCAGCCAGACGATGCAGAGTCCCATCAAAAGGCGACAGACAGAAAGCCAGACGCTTAAGGATGCTTTTATAAAAAAAATTTACATTCATGACATGCAAAATGTGATTCCCTTATGAAGATTGCCATATAATTTGGAAGAGATAGATGATAGACAGACAGACAGACAGACAGACAGAGACACATAGGTATTACATAGATATATGTATCTATTCCAGAGTTTTGCATTCAAAAGATGCAAAACATGATCCCTTGTGAAGATTGGCATATAATTTGGAATATCTAGCTGCCTACCTGTTTATCTTTCTGTCTGTCTATCGATCAATCAATCAATCAATCAATCAGATCATCTATCTATCTATCTATCTATCTATCTATCTATCTATCTATCTATCTATCTATCTATCTATCTATCTATCTATCGAGAGACTGATAGAGACAGACAGATACATACGTGTGTATATTACATGCTTATATATATCTATTCCAGTTTTGCATTCAAGAGTTGTAAAACAACATTGCCATATAATTTAGACTATATCTGTCTGTCTGTCTGTCTGTCTGTCTCTCTCTCTCTCTCTCTCTCTCTCTCACCATCCAGCCACACACGCAAACACACACATACATATTGCATACATACATGTTTCTATTCCAAATGAAAGCAACATATTAAAACATTTGGTTCCTTTCCTTCCTGTTCCCCTTCTTTGAAAAAACGGCCCAGTTCTTCTCTGAACATCTCTCTTCTCCCTCTCCCTCTCTTTCTCTCTCTCTCTTTTTCTCTCCTTCCCTCCCTCCCTCCCTCTCTCTCAACTTGCTAACTTTGAAAGATGATACAGATAACAATTTGCTTTGCCCGTCGACGCATTAAAAACCAGGATTACTGCAAAGCATTGGTGTTCCTGTGCCGCAGCAGAGCGTGATCAGAATGCAAGATGGAATTCTGTATCAGTGAGCGAGGCGAAGACATGGTGCTGGCATCCCGACTTTCTGCAAGTCTCCTTAGCAACTTGTCTGACAT